GGAAGTCGGAGATTACATGACGCGATTTGGAAGTGGAAGTTAGAGCCGACACCGTGCCGAATCTAGGAAGCGTTGGCACAGGAATCAGAATTTGTCTTTTCCTAATCGTCTAACAGTTGATTTTAGTCTTGAATATGTAAATAATCTTCGTATTTTCACGTATTTGCACTCTAATGTATAAAATTTCAGGCAGCATGGACGCTGATCAAGTTTTAAAGGTGGCACTAGGTACACCCATGTTTTTAGGAGGAGTGGTAGCTTTAATACTAGACAACACTGTAAGAGGTAGGTAAATTCTAATCTTTATACTGAACGCGTTTTCAGGAACCTATTTGGACTAGTTTGATAGTTTCGATAGTGCTGTGCAACATTTGACGGTGTTTAATGGCGGCCATTTTTACCGATACTTTAACCTGGTTTCACCTGGTTTTTGGTGGGCGGCATCACTGACATAGGAATCTAATTTCTGGTGATTCTACAGTAAATAGTCTCAGACGTCTTTTAAGGATTGATACCAGAACCACGTTCCTAAAAAATTCGTGCGACTAAACTTACACGTCAAGTGAAGAAGAACTTTTTTTGTCGTCATCAAATCGTTAATTCATAACATTTACGCTCTTACGTTTGGAGAAACGGGGACCTGCACTTTTAAGTTATTTTTTACCATTGCAGGCCAATATTTAACGAGCGTCATACGAATGTCACTTATCAAAACGTTTAACATATTTCAATACCTATGATATTATTTGGATATTATTTGTCAAAAGACCTTTTCTTTTTGTCATGAAAGCATTACTTTATTGTAAACGTTCTGACGTGCTTAATCAGAAACTCTGAATGGTTGAAATTGTATTGTATTTGTTTGTTCAGGCACTCTGGAAGAAAGAGGTATGCTAGCTTGGAGAGATAGTCACAGTGGGTCAACTGGCGAAAACAAACAACAACAAAGACACAATCCTCTCAGTGTAGAAGAGGTGTACAGTGTACCGTACATTCAATCGTTATACAAATTCTGGCCTTGTTTAGATAAACTTCCCTTTCTACCTCGAAACAAAACACACAATCAGGACGACGTGTATAATGAACAAATAGTGAAGCAGATCGATGGGCACGACTCAGGTGTGTAAATGCTGGTGCAGATTATAATCAACATAATGCACTCATTTTTCAACCAACCAAGCTTCACCAAAGAAAGTAGTCGAGATATAGGGGCATTGTGTCAAGCGTCACTTCAAAACGCGGATAATGTCATAACGCCATTTAAAAAATATAACTAAACAATGTACTTAGTCCTTTTCATCAAGGCCCAGTTCCTAGCATCGTGTTTAAGAATGCTAGCTTGCTTAACTCTTAAGTAGACTTAAGTCTAAGCACGATTTGGGGAATTTGTCTTCCTAGGATTAGCTCTAGAACGATAGCTTGCTTAGATCTGAAGTCGACTTTGATTCTAAGCAAGCTTACAGCTACAGCTGATAGAGATCAATAGAGATCAAATATGGCGCTTCACAGGCCTAGGCAACTACTTACAAATCTCTTATCATTTTAAAGGGATTCTACCACTTAGAATGAATATTGTATTTGAATTCCCAAACATGACCAACGCGAATATGTATATCAGTAGTGAACTTACCTGGCGCCGTATCTATACAACAGAATCTATGTATACGACAATAAATACATATAACTCAGTAAGTAATGAAATAAAAAATCCGTAAAAGCAAGAAGATTCCGTTCATCAAAATCTCCTCCAAAGTATGGCAAAAAAAGACTGCGAAATAGGACTGCAGTTTAATGGATAATTATATAATAATTGTTTTTTTAGATTTATCGAATTATGGAGGTCAACGTTGAGTCCTTAAATTTTATGTTCATTCTAAGTGGTAGTATTCCTTTAGGAATGCCACGTTTTAAAATTGGTGTTCTCACGAATTTCTAACCTAGCTGACCACCTAGGGGGCGGTCATTTTATCATTAATAAGGATATTTACGACTCTGATTTGCACTTAATATCATACAGCTCTTCCATTCCGTTAACACGGAGCAATATAAGACGTAGTAAAGAGTTGTATAAAGCAACTTTTAGTTAGAAAAGCCGCCATATTGTAAGGGGAGATAACATAAATTATCATGTTATTGTGGTCTGGTGGTTGGTTGGTAACGAATTCTCTTGCGGGCGCTGAGTCATTTCCGGTTAACTATTTTTGGAATTGCAGGAAGCATAGGCATCGAATGAAGAATTGGGATGTCCCAAATAGAAATCAAAGGTGTCCCTGGTACACATAAAAGTCTAAAAAAACTTCTTTACACTCCCTTTTTTTTTTATTTCATTAAGGAAATCTGAATCACGTGACATTTGAATGACAGGTAGCATTAGATTTGAATAATGTTAGATATAAGTACAATTTTCGTAGAAGAGAAACTACTAACTAATACATAACCGACAAAGGTTTACATCAATAAGACATCAATATTATAGAATGTACGATATATCTAAATAGGTTGGTTCGTTTAGGATATATGAACGTTTTGTGGAAATTATGATTTAAAGTGGACCATTTTCGAGAAATTCGTCCTGGTGTCCTGTATATTGAAACCTGTAAAGGTTCGAAATTTGCCATTTACATTAAAAACACCCTACTTATTATGATAAATGACATTTTACTAAACCCTTATTTTTTTATGTTCGAAGTATTTCTTTTTAATCTCAGTCATAATTGGTATTTCTTTTTTCATCATAAATTCACACATAATTCGATCTATGATAATATCTCGACTCCATTCGGTTGCTTTTAATGTTGTCATCTTTTCCTTGTGATTTTTTTGGGTACAAAAATCGCTCATGGTTTTTCGTAGGCTACGAAACATTCTCACTTCATGAAAAAAATCACTTCCTTGGTTACGAATTTTCTGCCAAAAAACGTCATGGAAATGCTGATAGAGAGCATAATCTGCTTTAGCCCACTGACGGAATCGTTCACGATCTAACGCTGTTACGTTGAAATTATTTTTATAGTTTGAAAAAATATTACTTGACATATAAAAAACATCCTCCAAATTCCAATTTAAAGTTCTTTTCAACAAAACCATAGATTCATCGTAATATTCGGCAATTAGAACCAAATCAAAATCATTAGAAATATTTTTCACAAATTCATTTATGAGTGTTTTGTTTGACAATGTCTTTCGTTTGATACCCAAATCGACGCTCATTCTGTTGTTAGTAAATGAATCGGTCAATCGTTTAGGTTCATATTTTTGTTGATTTTCCAGATAAGTGGAGATAGGCGAACTTCCGGGTATCCTAATTAAATAACTAACTGGAAAGACATCTCTATAAAACATAAAACCGGAAGTGAACTGATCGAATGGTTCCCGTAAAATGGTCACATATTTTGTTTCTGACGGAAAATATTTCGAAATAGCCTGTCTGTCATAGATCACGTGATTGCACAATATGTCATATTTACCACTTTTAGACGGAAGGATATTTTTGCTCGTAAAAGAGCCGCCCTCGCTGATGATGTTAAGTTTCGTCGGAAGCATAATGGCGAGATTCCTCTTCAGAGCAAACCTTAACATCACATTCATGGTGGTCGTACTCGCTGCCTTGTGTACTTTGATGAAAACAACGTGTCGACACTCCGTTTTACACAATGGTTGGGGTCTCCTGAAATTGTCCCCCCTCTGTACGTCGTAGGAAAAACACTCGGGACAACCTAGTTGAGATGTATTGGTGTTGTCCGTGTAAATCATGGTATAGTTCAGTGTGTTTTTATAGTTACTTCTGGTGACAATAACCAATGAGAATAAACCCAACAGAGCCAGTATCTTTACCCAGTATTTTCTGAAACACACCAATTATAATATAGTATAAAAAGACTATTATTATGGATTGCTATTACTCGTGCTTCTAAGATGCCAATATGGTAAAATATGAAGGATTACAGAATATAATAGCAGGCCCGTAGCCAGACTTGATTGTTCGTAGTGGCAAGTAATTATTATTATTTAGAAGTAGTAATATATCAGAAGAGGCAATGGTGTATGGTGTATAGTTGCAGTAAAAGAATTGGTCGGTGGTCAGAATTTTTTCAAGGTACCAATCCATTTTTGGGGGTGGGGGTGCATAGCTACGGGGAAACCCAGTAACAATGACATAATTTGTAAGTTTGATTTTTACAAGAAGTTAATCCACATAACTTACCATAACCAAATAGTTTACAATTTGAGTTTTTAATTGCAAACGTTTTAAATTTTAAATTACATATAGACTTATTTAGTGGTAAAAGTGAGTCACCTTGACGAAGTATACAGCCGAGACAACCAACTCGTTCCCATGTTCAATAGTTCTACTAATAGAGCCTGAAAGTAAGACAATAACGGCAAATTAAAGGAATACAACCTCTTAGATCTTAGAAAGGACCTAAAGTCTCAAGCTTGTTCAATAAGAGTATATTTTCATCAGTTAGACTATGTTGCCATGACTTCAGAACAGATTCTCTATATAACAAGATTCTAAGCATTGTTCTTCCTCAGATGTAGTTATAAAACTATCTCTCTATAGGAATAAATGGCTTTCAGTTTGAATATATTTCACTGTAGCAGAGACATTCGTCGTTTCTTGATAAAATGGTAGTTTTGGGAATAGTGAAACCCAAAGTAGAACAATACTAGAACTGTAAACAGCCCCGAGGGTGGCATCGAGGCATTGTCCCATTGCTTTTGAACCTTTTGAAATTTCTAGTTGTCAGCTTTCATCTCCGACGCTTTTAAGTTTGAATAAGAAATTAAAACTTTTGGATATCTGGTAAATAAATCAAGTATATAATTACCCTCCAGAAATGTCACCTCAATATTCTCAATTTGCAAAAAATAATAGAACTAATTTATACCGCATCGACGAGGGAGGTCTCGGAATGCAAGAGAGTATTATCCCGAACCCCGAACATAGAGTTATATAATAAGAAACGAATTTGATTGGCTGAAACTAACGTCATTAGAACGAGGGTGTGGTAGAAATCTTGCGCGATTACAATGAAGATGTAGAATATAAGAAAAAAGCAACAAAATAGTAATCTTATTTTAAGTAGATTGAGTTTACTTGGAAAAGGAAGCATCAGAAACAAAACACTAATTTTTATGGTTTTTTTCCTAAAGGGGTTAAAGGCTTAAAACATAATTGTCTATCTAATCCCACACAGCCGCAACTGTGCGAGATGTCGTTAAGTTCGTTTCCTTTCCAGAGATTCGCATACATACCGTCGACACCAGATCTTGAAAGGTATTGTAAAGAGGTTTTATAAATTTTGTAGGTGTATTCGGGACACTGATAGTGTTTGATGACGTCACTAATTGCAAAATATCCTTGTATAAGGCCCTTCGCGACGTGTGAAACCCGGTCTACACAATCACGATGTCAATATACATTCATATGTAACTTTGGTCATCTGATTTAAGGGACAGTCACGCCATATTGGGGTGGGGGGGGGGGGGGTTGATTTAGGTCTTGAGTATATGTAAATAGTCTTCAGAAGTACTAGAAATGTACGAAAATCACATAATTCCTTCAAAAATATCCCGATCTAAGATTTATTTTCCTATTTCTATATAAGACATTGTCTCAAGAAAATACGACTCGTCATTTTAACACACATGGATTGGAAGCTTCAAATTTCGACGGTGAGCTGTGAACAAAATTACTCATTGGCTTAGATAAAGCCCAAGACTAAGGTACGATTGGCCACAAAATGGCGCAGTTGTCCCTTTAAAATTAAATAACGGAACACAATTTTATGGTATACTACTCCTTAATGTCGCTAAAGGATTATCCCTTTAAAAGGTGACATACCAGTAATCGAACAAGTAAGATAGTCCATGCCCAGTTTTCCCCTTTGTCTATAAACTAAAGATGATTGTCGTATATCCAAAAATCATAATTTAAGTGACAAATATGTTCATAGCAAACTAAAATACATTGGTATGTAACAATCTAACCTCTCGCCCACTAGGACAAAAGAAAAATAACCCGCAGTTCCAAACCTTTTATTGAGCACTATTGTAACAGTGGTATATTTCTATATCGCTCTACAATTGAAGCATAGAGCACTATTTTAACAACGAAAATATTATATTATATTTAAGTCCCAAATAAACCGCCGAAAATAGCTGGCCGTTACTATTAATTCTAGCCCAAAGTTGACAATAGTGATCGCTGATTGGCAAAGAAAGACCTGTTTCCAAACTTTTTGAAATTTTTAAACTGTTTACAAAATTACGTTTTTTCTAATGAAATTACACATTAATGTGGACACCTATCTATCTATATAATTATTAAAGAATATGAAAATTAGAATAATGAAAGATTTTGAATTGACAAACCCAGTCCAAGTGAGATTCAGTATTCTAAAATTGCAATTTGGATATATTAAATATTATGTGAATAAAGATGTGTTACCTTAGCGAAGAATTAAATCCGAGTATTACCTGATAAACTGTAATCAAACGCTTTATATGTAGCTACAATCGACCGAGCGCTCCATGGCCTGCTTCTGCTAAAATAAAACCAAATAAATCCTGTTAAATTCACTATTAAAATCTGGTAGTGTTGTTGAAGTTATTACTCTAGTAGTATATATTATATATATATACCACTATTTCCTGTATTTAGATATAAACAATGTGTAGTTCTTTCACTTAGAAATCTAATACAGTACATCCGTACTTGAGATATTGAAATATAATGTTCTCAGAACATAGTGTTAGGGTGTATTGAGACGAGTCTCAATGAAAGCACTGGCCTAGGTAATTTTTACAGTGTATACTGTCCATTTGCATCGTTAAGGCGCCCTCACACCACAAGTGATCATCATTGGCTGTGAAAGACGAGAATGTTCGTCTGAGTTTCGTACGCAACTCTCATGCAACTGGGTTGTGTTCGGAACTCATGACTATTATTTATTTTCTCAACCATACGCAACTGGTGGTCGCTATAGCGTAAGGGCGCATTTAGGACGTAAAAAGACAATAAACACTGTAAAAATTACAGTGTTTCCATGTCTCAGGTAAATGCATACAATTTGTTTTACAAAGTGAATATTAACACTGTCGTATCTAAACTGTAAGTAATTTGTGTTATTACAACTTATCCTCAGGCAGGCAATGGTGTATGTGTATAGTGTTTAGTTGCAGCGCAGTAATGGGATGGTCGGCTGTCTGAATCTTTTAGGGTGGTAAACACTCCCCCCACCCCTTTGGCCCTTCTAGCAACCTGCCTACTTATCCCACGGGGTTAATATAATATAGGACATATTCATATTTCATGATGTATTTAGCCAGTTCGCCCAAAATATAAATATGGATATCAACCGAAATTTTGCATACATTGTAACCTGAATAGTTAGCAAGCGATGGGTCCGACTAAAATGAGGAAAGAAGATCAAACAAGCGGAAGCAAGTAGATGCATGCGGAAACAAGTCCATTCAAGCGCAAAAGAAGCGCAAACAATGAAACAATTCGATGAAGCACAATTGAGACAAAAAATGTTATTTACAGAATTTTTAATTACAAAGCTGTCTCAAGCGAGTAATCGTGTGAATTATAGGCAGAGATATCTTGATCCATACTGAGGATTAATAAACATTTAAAACCAAAGAACCAACAATCCAAACAGCAAAACGGAAACATTACATATTGACAATACAATGGCAGCACTTATTTAACTTTTCCCTTCCAGTTTACACATCTGGACTTTAAATGAACACTAAAGGATATTTTGTGTCAATAACTTTATTTATGCTCTAATATTGTAACGACACTCCGATAGAAAAGAACCATATTCAGATCTATTTGACCCCCAGTTCGTGTTGAGAACTTTTTATGATCTTTCTTTTTAGAGAGTAAAGATTATTGAAGCTTTATCAATAATGATAAAACTTTAAGTCATCTCGGTGCTCTAGTGGGCAGTCTTACAATTTAAACATGATTCGTTTTTAATGAGATATTTATTCAATGTCACCTGGTGTCCATTCAGACCTCTAAAACCCCTGTGTGTGCCAACGTGACCCTTTTCGACCACACCTATGGTATTATGCCATCAAAGATGGATTGAAACAGGTCTTAACCTTGTTTTTGGCAGTTCATATTCTAAAGTCAAGAAGTCTTAAAATGAAATGTATATTGATTACATTAAATGCAATGGTTCATCAATTTCGGAAGATGATTTGGGTCTCGAATATTATATTTAATAGTCTTTAGAACTGCTAGAACTGATCAGAACTAGAAATTTCACTTTCTATTTCTATATACATGCATGTTCTTTTTTTATATATATTTTAACTCACAAAAGCGGATAATTCTGATCAGACATGTACTTGATGGTTCAGATTTCGACAGTGGGCCGTGAACACTATTACTGATTGACATAGCTAAAACGATTCCAGTTTCTGAGACTAAAGTTTAATTGGTCAAACAGAATGGAGCATCTGTAAGTAAAAGTAAGGATTTATAGGGGAAAATATGGTAAAAGTAAAGATTTATAGAAGAAAGGGGTGTGTAATAATGCAATCGATTAAGGATCTCGGGGTAACAGAAAAGGTTGAAAAGCTGCTTTAAGGTTCAATTTAAGACAATGAAA